AAAAAAAAAAAAAAAAAAAAGGGAGATAAACCGATTTTGCGGTGGTTGATCTCACGCTCGTTGAAGGTTGCATTTATTTTCTCTTCGATTTTTCGTTCCTCGTTCTGTGAAGGAGGGAATGATGGTTATGGATAAAATATAAATCGATGATGATGGGATGGTGCAAGAAAAGGCAGCGAAGCTTGAAATGTATAATATAATTTATATACGTGCGTTTTTCTATTCAACTTTGAGAATTAATTTCATTAGGATTAATCAATTACCACAAGTACCAGCTCTGGTTTTATTTGAGTTCTTGATATCAGTCACTACATATCAGCATAATATAATACAGAGTGGGCCAAAAATCATTTCTTACTGAATGAATTCGTAATTTCTTTATCACATGTTTAAAAAAAATTTTTTTCTTTTTACACGATGAGAAAATCATGTTTGAACTTAAATTAGTTTTCTCTTATATTTTGATGTTTTATTAAAAAAAAAGAAGTAGGTGGGAAAAACTTTTTTGCCCATCCTATGTGTTCGTTAGTTGTTAGATTTTCCAAAACATTAATGTTGATTCAGTTACATCGACGTTGTAAAAAACTAACTAAATCAACGCTTTTCGTTTTGATTCTCTGTTCATTGTTGAAACAATCACGTCACCAGTAAGAGTTTTCATTTCACTTTCCTGAAAGTGACGATTTCAAAGAATTGGCACTCTTGATTGTACATTCATACATTCAACAATTACATCTATATCTTATACTACATTATGAATTAATGTTCGTCGAGATATAATTATTAAACAGCCCGCAGGACCAATACAAATTTTCGACAGCCATGTTGTCCATTGTTGTCGAATGTTTCGCAAGCGGAATCGGCTGGCGGCGCTGGTGCATTGAACTTTTTTCTCTGAGCGCGTACGCGTATCGAGTCGAATTCTGGTTCGATTTCGCGGGAGGATGTTATGGTAAATGTAGTCGAGTGAACAATCACGCGACCGGATCTACGTGTTGCCCGGAACTCGGCGCATAATGCCGCGGAAACGGCTGGGAAATTATATCTGTTATGGGGAAGAATCGACGACGCGCAGTCGGGGACACGATTTCATCTGACCGCGCGGGTTTACCGGACGGAACGGTCATTAAACGTCTGTCGCTGGGCATCGAACGTTTCACTAAGGTTTTGGTGAAAGTTCAGGTTTGACATTCACGTTTCATTTCGGCTAATTATCTCGATGCGATCTGTTACTCCTTCAATCCATTTGGTTCTCTAACGGATATTTAAAGGCTACCAATTCCAGCCCCATTATTTCTTAAATCTCCTTCAGA